TCTTTTCAATTCCCAATGCATGGTACTTGCATGTGTCTTCCAAAAATGTCAACCTATCAAGTAGGTCAAGCTTTTTCTCTGACTTGAGCACAATCATAGTAACAATCCTTGTACTGACTTACCTTAACTTCTGGACTAAGATAAAGAAAATGGACATCCCTTAACCATGTTTAAGCTTCCAATGATAAAATAAGTAGAAACTTTTCCTTTGGTTGTTCTAACTCTGCACAAAGCTTGGCTATGAATACAACACTTATACTTAGCTACACTAACTTCTGAAAGAAAATGAATATACCAAAGAGACATTGAGAACTTTGTTCTACTAGTCACCATAAAAAGAATAAATGTCCATAATAGAGACTCAAGTTTTTGTATCCTTCTATTTTCTTTGTTTACATATTGACACAAAAGTAAGAAAAAGTTTACAAAAGGATGCTAGTAAGTTCTCAGCTTGACCAAGAAGGAATTAAAAAAGGTATATCTGGTGAGTCAAGATGAGAAATTCTCAGCACCCGTTCATAAGAAAAGCTCAAGATTTTACCTAATCAAGGTTCAAAGTATGAAATATGATGACATCTTTTACATACCCCACTTTAAGTGATGTCTATTCTATAATAATTATATAGCAATGACATCCTTTCAGAATAAATGAAAGCTCATTATTGATAAAACGAAAGATTAATTTGTTAATTCTTCTTTCTTTTGGCAATATCTAGACTTACTGGTACAAAGCCAGGTTCATCTCCTTTACTCACTATTAGTTGTGCTTTCCTTTGTAAATAGCTATAATGACTGCTACCAAGAAAAACATTATACTTTGTAAGTTGCATCAAACACTCATTCTCACAATGCAAACAAACTTCTTAAATCCACTTTTATTAACAGATTTTTTTTCAATTGCAAACACTGTAGAGATGTAATTAGAACATTTTTAATTATTACCAAAATTCTCAAAAACTAGAATAATGAAAATTGTACAAGCAATATCATAAAATTAGTGAAGACATATTAGTTTTAGTGATCATGTTTACAGAAAAGTGAGAAAAACCTCAGTGTAAAGAAATAAAATTTGTTTCTAATATTTTAAAAGAAATTCAAGTCCTTTAATTCATAATGTATTAACCCTTTTCAAATGGACCAGCTGGATTTAATAAAACCAATTGGCAGTAGAGGGGTACACTCTACTGAATCAGCCCAAGCAACTTCTGGTGACTTCTGTGCATTGACATAGTATTTCAAAATTAGCTATTTGTTTTGTGATTTTTCATCAGTAGATGATTGAATTTTGATACCATAACAACCAAGTATAGCCTTATGAATACCCAGGAGACTTTGCAAATCATTCTTGACTCTAATGACAAGTTTGAAGTAGGGGAAAATAAATGAATTTAGTTCTGATGGTGACTCAGACTTTGACAGCAGTAGCAGTATGCCAAATAAATGTACTGATGTTACATTAACAATATATTTTGATTTTGGAGGGTAAGTCTGTTGCATTCAGTTTCCGTGAAAATGGCTACAACAAATATTCATAAATAAAACATGTCTCTACTATATAGCTTGTGCTTAATTTTACCAGAGGTTTGTTGATCAAGATATTTTTTTTTTAAGAAACCAATTATCACTGGGCCATAATTATGGAGTTTCCTCTCAGGAGCAATCTCACTATCATAGATTTGGGAGATAAGCAAGCTAACTGTTAATTAATAACAAATGAACATTATTATTGGTGAGGAATTTGGCATGAGAACTTTTATAAGAGATCCTTTTATGCCTTAGGCTAAATGTTCTGAATATTTTTATCAAGTCAATTATATAAGCCTATAAAGTGCTTCGCTGATAAGAATTTTTCTAGCCTAACCTTATTTTACTTAACTTTTGAGCAAATTATAGTATCTTTCAGCTTTGCAGTGTGATGCTGTAATGAAGTTACCCAAGGAACATTAAAATGCAAACATAAATTCCTGGTTGCCTATATGGTAAGGGCTTCATGAATCTGAAGCTCTTTTTTAAAGCACTTACAAAATAAAATAAAACTTCCAAGCTATGTAAAATATTCTTCAGTTTAGGTACTGGTATTTGAATGTATTTAATAACTAATGACGATGACTTATATGAGTCAAAAGCTTGGATATGGCCTTGATTTTGGATATTTCATGCATCTCCAGCAGCCAGTTTTGCAGAAGATTATTCGCAATTTAGAAAAGAAAATGGTTAAATTTAATACACATAGAATGTCTGTACTTTTCAATCACTCCTGATGATGACTTACTCACAATTTAGAAAAGAAGATGGTTAGATTAGCTGATATAGAATGCCTATACTTTTCAATAAAACACACACACACACACACATATATATACACACATACACATACATATATATATATTTATATATATATATATATATATATATATATATATATTGTTACGTTAACCCCATATTTGTACCCTCACCTCAGATTTTATAAGTACATTTTCAGTACCTTTTGTATTTGCGACGAAACATATGAATCTTAACTTTTTTTATTTCTTGAATATGCAGATTGTGAGATATTTATTGTTTTTATAACCAGATGAGTCAGGGCCAGTTCTCGGAAAAGAACCTTCCCTTCTACCCCCATCTCCTACCTGGTCCACTGTTTGACAGATAGGTGTGAATGATGTTAACCAGTTCCATAGTCGCTGCTCAAAACAAACGCTGCTTGACAGATAACTGTGGATGATATTAACAGGGTCCGTGAATGGCGCATACCTTTTTGGGGGCCAACCGTGACTCAAAAATATAGCATTTCGTTTTCGCCTTTGCGTGTTGAGGTAACAACAACCACACACAGTTGCTGGCTATCAGAGGAGTCGGACGTCACCAAAAACCCGTCTTAGCTATTCGCCATTAGAAGAATTAGATGCCACCAAAAACCAAAGGACTGGCGAGATTGTAGATCAACATTGTCAATCCATCCGTTACTTTCAAAAAGTGTATAAATATCCTTTGAACAAATTGTACCCCGATAATTGTCAATCGACGTCGATTCCAAACTTATGTAAGTTTCTGCATGTTTTTCCCATCTTAAAATCTGCTATTTCTGTATTCATATGAATTTCGCCGCATTAGTATCTGTTTAATAATTGGTAACTTATCTCCCCATCCCTTGTATTATTTAGTTTTCTTTTTCTTTTTCTTATATTCACACTCCGTGTATACTAGAAATAAAATCTTTGTATTGTATATTCTCGTGTTGTCTTCTGTTGTTCTGTGTCTGCGAATTGTTCATTTTCTCTCTGCGTTTACCGACGTCCGGAATTGGAGAATTCCCCTCCCAACGTTATTTTCTTTATTTTTATATTGAACCTTGGGATCTCTTACTTATTTTTTTTTTATTTTCTCGTTGCGTTCCAGCTATCGTAGTCCCAACGAAACTCCGGGCGTAACAGAATTGGGGGCTCGTCCGGGATTTATTTCTCCTTTTCCACAAGACTTCACATTGAAGAACAGTGCAGTCATAGAATTATGGAAGGCACATAAACCGAGATATCTGTAATAGATACTTTTTTAAACTCTCCCACGTTTGACAGTCTATTAAAGCTGAAAAAGGACCATATTTTAGAGATAGGTTTGTCGCGGTCGCCGATTATCCGCTCCTTACAAAGCCGACCTTGACCTTCACAACTCTCGATCTCGCAGATCTAGGTCAAGCAACAGGCCAGAAACCGGACGGCTAGTCCAATATCGTTGATGTCAAACCATACCTAGTACGCATCTGACTATGCTGAGCCATTCTAAACATCGGCAACCATAGACTATAATTTATTATCTACGGCCTTCTACTCCTCTAGCCAGGGAGTACTTGAACAAATCTTTGCAAATATCCTTGGACACTTTTTTCGCCCAAACTAGGCAGCTCGGCCGGAGGCCTGGATCAAAGTGTAGTACACTACCTTTGTGAACTTCCGGTGCTTTTGTCGAGAGTGTTACTCTTCGGCGCGATCCCGTCTCCACGGTCGATCCGCCCTGGAAGGTGTAACACCTCTCTGACCTACCTCGCCTGGTGATACACTCTGGCGCGATCCCGTTTCCGCGGTTGATCCGCCCTGTGGAGTTGTATTACTGGTCTGCCTTGGCCCTGTTTGGGGACTCCGTCTTCGCCTGGTGATACACTTTGGCGCGATCCCGTTCCGCGGTTGATCCGCCCTGTGGAGTTGTATTACTGGTCTGCCTTGGCCCTGTTTAGGGACTCCGTCTTCGCCTGGTGATACACTTTGGCGCGATCCCGTTCCGCGGTCGATCCGCCCCGTGAAGTAGCATCACTGGTCTGCCTTGGCCCTGTTTAGGGACTCCATCTTCGCCTGGTGATACACTTTGGCGCGATCCCGTTCCGCGGTCGATCCGCCCTGTGAAGTAGCATCACTAGTCTGCCTTGGCCCTGTTTAGGGACTCCGTCTTCGCATTTCGGCCGAACCAACTACGTTCGCCGACCAATCCTAAACTACCGGGCCAGACCAGCTACTTTCGACCAGACCAGCTACGCTCACCTACCAATCCTAAACTACCAGGCCAGACCAACTACATTCGACCGGACCAGCTACATTCTACCGAACCAACTACGTTCGCCTACCAAACCTAAACTACCGGGCCAGACCAACTACCGGACCAGACCAGCTACAATCGACCGAACCAGCTACGTTCGTCGATTAACCAGTTTTCGGACCACACCGATGTAAATGTGTGAATAAAAACGACACTTTTGTTCATAACAAAAACCTTTGCCTTTGTCCCGTCATTGTCTTGGCTGTTCACATTTATCGTATACTTAAAAACCTTGCGGGGGCGACATCCTACTCGGCCCCGCAACAAGTGGTGACTTCCCGACGTGAGACAGCTAAGCGATGATGGAGTCGGCTAAAAGTGATTCTTTGGACATGACGGCTGCGATCATACCTCTGCCTGCATACCACCATAATGCCAAGAACTGGTTCTTGCAGGTGGAATCCATCTTTTCAATGCTACGCATTACTTCACAGCGAGCCAGATTCGCGAATGTAATGCAGAAACTCCCATCTGATATGATGGACGAAATTTCTGATGTCCTCTCCGATTTGCGCGAGCATGAACCGTACGATCACTTAAAGGAAGCAATCCTCAAGCGAACCGGACGTTCCGAGGAAGATATGATCCAAGAGATACTGCGGAACGTCACTAGAGGCGACAAAACGCCATCCCAGCTTCTCAGATATATGAGGAACCAGCTGGGAAAGCACAACGTATCAGAAAAAGGTTCTTCGAGGTTTATGGCTGGAGCATTTGCCTAAATCTGTTGCACAAATCATCGCACCAATGACGAGCCACGCCTCTGGACGATTTGGCAGAATCTGCTGATCTTGTTTTTGCACAGTTCGACCACAGCGTTAACGCTGTTCGCGCCCCCGACATAGCGAAGCACGAACGCTACGAGCCTAGTAAAACGGAACGGGCGTTGGCCGACCTTCAACGGCAAATTCGGGAGCTCCAGATCTCCCTGCGCCCGCGGACGAGGACATCGACCCCATCTCGACGGAGACGAACCCCCAGCCGAGAACGGCGAAGCGACCAGGGTGTTTGTTGGTTTCATCGCACATTCGGCGATGAGGCCAGGAATTGTAAACCTCCCTGTACACACCCGTCGGCCCGGGGAAACGAATAAGCCGGAGAGTCGCGACGACTAACTCTTCCGGTGCCAACACGCAATGTCGTCTATTTTACGTTTGGGATCGACGGAACAAGTTGAAATTCCTGGTGGACATAGGTGCGGCCATCAGCGTGGTACCCCTTCAGAACGACCACACCGCTAAGCCCACCCTGATCAAACTACGAGCAGCGAATGGTTCCGCGATAGACACGTACGGAGAAAGGACCCTTACTTTGAATATCGGTATGCGACGCGATTTCACGCGGACATTTACCGTGGCCAACGTGAAGGTACCCATCCTCGGCGCGGATTTCCTGGCGCATTACGCACTGGCGGTCCATATGAACCCTAGGACTCTGTCCGATACGACGACGAATCTCCGTGTCTTAGGTACCCCTACACGTCAAGGCTCCACAGGAATCAGCGTCGCAACATGCCATGGTCGCGAGTACTTAGATCTCCTGACGCAGTTCACGGATATAACGCTGCCACTCCAAGTAACGGCTTCAGGTGACCATCAGACTCAGCACCACATCAGAACCCGAGGTCCTCCCGCACACTCCCATCCGCGACGACTCGCTCCGCACAAACTGGCGTACGCCAAGGAGCAATTCGACAAAATGCTCAGTGATGGCATCATTCGTCCTTCCGATAGCCCTTATGCCTCGCCACTACACTTAGTGCCTAAACCTGGTGGTGAAGAATTTCGGATATGCGTCGACTACCGGAAATTGAATGCATCGACCGTACCAGACCGATATCCTGTCCCTCATATCCATGATTTTGCATCCGGATTGATGGGGCTCGCATCTTCTCGAAAATCGACCTGACAAAGGCATACCACCAGATCCCCGTCGCTGCGGAAGACGTCCCAAAACGGCAGTCACAACACCGTTTGGCCTATACGAATTTCTAAAAATGCCGTTCGGTCTACGTAACGCTGCCCAGACCTTCCAACGACTCATAGACGAAGTCCTGCGCGGACTTCCGCATGTATACGCCTATATCGACGACATCTTGGTGGCCAGTACAGACGCCGATTCTCACAGACAACACCTGCGAGAAGTCTTCCAGCGACTCTCGCACTACGGCCTGAAGTTGAACCTGGACAAGTGCGTTTTCGGGGCGCCCAGCGTTGACTTTCTCGGGCACCGCACCGACGCAGACGGCATAGCACCTCTGCCAGACAAGATCAGCTCGATCCGGGACTTTCCTACACCGACGTCCATGAAGCAATTGCGACGTTTCCTCGGCATGCTCAATTTTTATCGTCGGTTCATACCAAATTGCGCTACCATCCTCCAGCCACTGACGAACCTGCTGCAGAGAAGAAACAAGGACATCTCTTTGGAGGGAGATGCTCTGCACGCATTCCATACAGCGAAGGCTGCATTGGCGAATTATACCAGGCTTTCGCATATCAACGACGATCCAGAGACACGACTATTCCTGACAACCGACGCATCCGACGCTGGTGTGGGCGCGGTGGTTGAGCAAGAGTTCAACTCACAACGCGAACCCATCGCATTCTTTTCAGCCAAGCTTTCGCCAGCCCAGAGAAAATATAGCACCTTCTCCCGAGAGCTGCTGGCCATTTATCTGGCCGTCAGGCATTTCAGGCACTTACTGGAAGGTCGAGATTTTACCATCTATACCGACCATAAACCGTTGACAACCGCGATGAGTAACAACTCTGACAAGTATACAGCTCGCGAGATCCGGCATCTCGACTACCTGTCACAGTTCTCGACCGATATTCGTCACATAAAGGGAAGGACAACGCCGTCGCAGACACATTATCGCGAGCGGAAATTCAATCTCTTCAGACCGGCGTCTTGGGTCAAGATTCCATAGCCGCTGAACAAAAATCCGACCCCACGCTGCAAGACGTCCTTTCGAATACTTCTTTAAAGCTTCGGGAGTTCCCTGCATCCTTCAGCGACGACACCCTGTACTGTGACACCAGCCTAGCAAGCCCTAGGCCCTACATCCCACCGACACTTCGGAGACAGGTATTCCAACATTTCCACGGGCTGTCTCATCCAAGTAAGCGAGCTACGGTCAAACTTATTACCGACCGATTCGTTTGGCCCAATATGAATGCGGACATTCGAGAATGGGTTTCCACGTGCATGGAGTGCCAGAAGTGTAAGGTCCACCGACACACTAAATCCCCCGTCGGCACCTTCAGCAGTCCCGATGCACGGTTCTCACACATACATGTCGACTTAGTGGGACCGCTTCCGATGTGTCAGGATTACCAGTATCTTTTGACGGTTGTGGATCGTTTTTCGCGGTGGCCGACCGCCATACCTATAAAAGACACTTCTGCTAACACAGTCTCTAGGACCATCCTGAAAGAGTGGATTGGAACTTTCGGCACGCCCCACGTTATCACGACCGACAGGGGGTCACAGTTCCAGTCGTCCCTTTTTCGGGAGTTTACCAACCTACTTGGCGCCAAGCACATAAAGACTACCGCTTATCATCCGTGCGCCAACGGCTTAGTTGAGAGGTTTCATCGGTCCCTTAAAACCTCCCTGGCCACTAGACCTGACACTATCAATTGGGTGGACGACCTACCTTTAATTCTCCTAGCATTGAGGAACACCGTAAAGGAGGATTTAGGTTGTTCACCCGCCGAACTGGTTTTCGGTACACCTCTTGCGCTACCCGGCGAATACTTCGACGACTCCCTTCAGACGTTTTCAAAACCAACATCTCCTTTCGTCGAGGAACTCCGCCACAAAATGGCCCGGCTTAAATATGCAACTCCACGACAGCAACCGGTGAATTCGTACATCCCTCAACACTTGCGAGATTGCAAATTCGTTTTCGTACGGAACGACGCCGTGAGACGACCACTCACGCCGGCATACCAAGGTCCTTTTCAGGTTCTTCGACGCACCGACAAGCACCTTACGATCAAGCGCGCCAACTCGACCGACACCATCGCAATCGATCGGACCAAGCCTGCTTTTCTGGAGAAGCGACAGTATGACGCAAACCCGGCTCTGCGGCCCCTAATGCTATTCCAGCGCACCCATCAGACGCAGCACCGCAGACATCAAACGACACCCCAGCGACTCCTGTGCGGCAGACCCGATCTGGTAGGAGGGTCACTTTCCCTAAAGACCTTCGTAAATATTATTATTATTAATTGATACGATCAATTTTCTAGGGGAAGGGCCTTGTCGCGGTCGCCGATTATCCGCTCCTTACAAAGCCGACCTTGACCTTCACAACTCTCGATCTCGCAGATCTAGGTCAAGCAACAGGCCAGAAACCGGACGGCTAGTCCAATATCGTTGATGTCAAACCATACCTAGTACGCATCTGACTATGCTGAGCCATTCTAAACATCGGCAACCATAGACTATAATTTATTATCTACGGCCTTCTACTCCTCTAGCCAGGGAGTACTTGAACAAATCTTTGCAAATATCCTTGGACACTTTTTTTCGCCCAAACTAGGCAGCTCGGCCCGGAGGCCTGGATCAAAGTGTAGTACACTACCTTTGTGAACTTCCGGTGCTTTTGTCGAGAGTGTTACTCTTCGGCGCGATCCCGTCTCCACGGTCGATCCGCCCTGGAAGGTGTAACACCTCTCTGACCTACCTCGCCTGGTGATACACTCTGGCGCGATCCCGTTTCCGCGGTTGATCCGCCCTGTGGAGTTGTATTACTGGTCTGCCTTGGCCCTGTTTAGGGACTCCGTCTTCGCCTGGTGATACACTTTGGCGCGATCCCGTTCCCGCGGTTGATCCGCCCTGTGGAGTTGTATTACTGGTCTGCCTTGGCCCTGTTTAGGGACTCCGTCTTCGCCTGGTGATACACTTTGGCGCGATCCCGTTCCCGCGGTCGATCCGCCCCGTGAAGTAGCATCACTGGTCTGCCTTGGCCCTGTTTAGGGACTCCATCTTCGCCTGGTGATACGGTCTTTGGCGCGATCCCGTTCCCGCGGTCGATCCGCCCTGTGAACACTTTGGCGCGATCATCACGCGGTCTGCCTTGGCCCTGTTTAGGGACTCCGTCTTACACTTTGGCGCATTTCGGCGAACCAACTACGTTCGCCGACCAATCGCCGACCCTAAACTACCGGGCCAGACCAGCTACTTTCGACCAGACCAGCTACGCTCACCTACCAATCCTAAACTACCAGGCCAGACCAACTACATTCGACCGGACCAGCTACATTCTACCGAACCAACTACGTTCGCCTACCAAACCTAAACTACCGGGCCAGACCAACTACCGGACCAGACCAGCTACAATCGACCGAACCAGCTACGTTCGTCGATTAACCAGTTTTCGGACCACACCGATGTAAATGTGTGAATAAAAACGACACTTTTGTTCATAACAAAAACCTTTGCCTTTGTCCCGTCATTGTCTTGGCTGTTCACATTTATCGTATACTTAAAAACCTTGCGGGGGCGACATCCTACTCGGCCCCGCAACAGGTTTAAAACTGGAGTTGGATGTAAGACGGTCTATGCGAAAGGCGCAGTTGGTGAGAGTGGTCTCAGAAGACATGGTCGATAATGAAGTTTTCGACCCGAGCGTCTTGTCAACTCTCAGAAGCCCAGATCGAACTGGAAAAACTTAAGATCGAAGCTGAGACCCAGATTAAGCTGGCGAGAATTAGCCAGGAAACCCGTATCAGAGAAATAGAACAAGAACAATTACAACATGAGAGGGAGCGGAACAACTTTGACCTCACCAAGCAAATCCGACTTGTGCCTACATTCAACGAAGAAGACGTGGATAAATATTTCCAACACTTCGAGAAAATTGCTTTAAATCTAGAATGGCCCATCGAAGCCTGGCCGACATTGCTACAGACAGCTTTGAAAGGTAAAGCACAAGAAACGTATGCCTCACTCTCAGTTGCGGACAGTGCCGACTATAATATCGTAAAAACGTCGATCCTGAGAAACTACGAGATGCTACCAGAAGCGTATAGACAGAAATTTAGGGATCATAGAATGGACGAAAACCAAACATATATAGAGTTCTTCAGGCAGAAAGAGACATATTTCGACCGATGGATTTCGGCGAAAGAAATAGGTGCGGATTATGATAAGTTAAGACAGTTAATCTTAATTGAAGAATTTAAATGGTGCGTTCACGACAACCTCAAAACATTCCTCAACGAAAGACAGGTCGACACAGCCTACGAGATGGCTACCCTCGCGGACGAATACACACTAACACATAAGCGAGGCAAGAATAACTCAGAGGACCCATCTGAATATGGGAGAAGCACGAAGCCTCGAGTAATGGCTAGTGCTGGTCCGAGGACAAGATCTGGTCAGGTAAACTACCCACATCGACCGAACAGCCCGAAGTACAGAGATATGCTTGCCTTGATCTATGGTGAGCTCCCGGTTCAACCTTACATAAGCTATGTTATTACTTACGGTTATCCATGCAAAAAACTAGGTCTCTGAGACTTTCTGTTTAGATGTGATATATAGACATACAAACACACATACACAAACTTTGGCATATTAATATGTGGGGTTAATCTATCATGTCTGCCAGGATTCCCATTTGGCAGCATTCATCCCTGTTTCAGTACTTTAATAGGATATGAACATAACTTTTATCAACTAGGCATTGGTTTATCTACTTACATATCTGTTTGAAGCCAAAAAGAAAAATAAAAGGGAAAAATAAGAAAAAAAATATTTTAAGACACTAATTTGTACAAGAATACAAAATGACCTGGCACAAAATTTCCTGTGTGCTTCAAATTGTCTGGAAGGTTACAGTTCTTGTAAGTACAAATTTCAGTTTTCTCTTAAAAAAATAAACAGTTCATAAAATGCCAGGATGCCCACTTGGCACTAATTTTTTTTTTTCTTTTTTTCTTTTAGCAATAAAAAAGAATTCTACTTTGTAAGTATACACATTCAAAGGTTTGGAGAGAGAGAGAGAGAGAGAGAAATTCAAAGAGTAAGAAAGGAAGACCTATTCAGGCAATGCTGGTTTTCTGAGTCTTTTAGAAAAAATTCTGATTTTAAAAACAGACATTCACAAATATGGAATAAATCACATAAGGTTAGATAAAGATATTTGAATATATGAGATATCTTTATTTTTTATGATAGACATTTGTAGTTATGAGATAAATCCCATAAGTTTTTAATGATACTGATGAAAATTATGATTCTTCTACAACAGCAGCAGCCTTTCTTATCCCATATAGCAGCCTCTTCTTGCCTGAATGTTGTCCTCTTTATATAGGAAATACATTGCTCCAACTGGATCAAAATCAACTCTTTTGGAGCATATACTTTTTATTCTGATTGGTTAAAAACTTGAAAATAACTAGCCAATCAAACTATGCTTGTTTGCAAACTTTAATTTGGCAGGTTTTTGATATCAAATCAGAGCCTCTTTTTTGCAAATTTTTGGTAATAAATTATTATATATGTTCTTTTAAAAAAAGACTGGCTTCATTTTGTTAGTAACCTTCTTAATTGGTTTTCCACACAATTTTAATATCATCTTTTTTATTATAAATAATTCTATATTAATTTTTGCACAATTTCAACATTTTCCTTTTTATAATTTTTATAAAACAATATATTGTTAACTCTTTCCTTTTCTTTATTAACCATTATCATAATTTTCAATGGTTTATACAGAAGACTTTTTTCTTGTTATGATTTACACCCACACACACAAATATATAGATTCAAATATGAGGTCTGTCAGGAAATTATTCAGCTATTTAATGTTAATTAAAAAGTAGCCTACTTAGAGCAATGGTAACTTTTCAAAGTATTTATTGTGGGTCCTCACACACTTATCTCAGTGATCCTTTCAGTCAACACAGCCATCTTTCAGGATCACTTATGGGAAAATTAAATAAAACCAATAAATAAAATAATAATAAAGAATAAAAAAGAAAAAAGAAATTCATTTTCTCATGTTGCAAGTTATAAGGAAAATGAAGTGTTTTGGTCACATGCGGAATTTCATCACTTCTGGAAAAGACAAAATCTTTCTTTTTTCCACTTTCCAATGGCATCATTCAGACAATGTCTTGACAGTCCTACTCATGAAGTGATTTGGTTGTTCCAACTCAGTGCAAAGCTGACTTGGGCTCAATCATTCTTACTCGTTCTTATCCTTACTTCCCATAATTTACTTCTAAACCAAAAAAGTAAACAAACATATTCAAGAGACATTGAGAACTTTGTTTCACTACAGTCATCATTAAACAAATAAACATCCATAGCAGAAACTCAAGTTTTTGTATGCTTCTATCTTCTTTGTTTACATATTGAACATGCACCTTTACCTAAAAAATACGCAAACACACAACCTTGTTAACTTCCATATACTTTCAATTGCTTCATTGCATTTAATTTTGTCTATAGTTTAAAATTCCATTTGATGCAAAGAATGGACAGGCAATATATTCAAGATGTCTGGATAGTTTTCGGATATTCCATGGAATTTCCACATATTCCTCTAATTTTTACTCTGTCAATCACTGATTTATTTTCACTGCACAACATTTTGGGTGTTCTGCTTGATAAAGGCTTTCCAGAATATTGATTGCTTTCCAAGCTTGAAGTTTAAAGCATTAGTGCCAACATTTTACCTCACTGAATCATTCCCCAAATCCTTAAACATTTGGACAGTTACCAAGGGTGAACTTGATGTATATTCTTCTCTTCTGTGTTCACTCAGTCATGAAAATGTCAACACATTAGCCAGGTTCACTCAATGGCATCTCACTAACTAGAGATACATTGGTTATTGGTTTTAGGATAACCCATGATAAAATTCCTGTGTGTGTAAACTCTGGCTATCCCTAAAAATATCCTTAAATATTGGATTTCTCCTGGAATCTTTAGGCAGTCAGATTAATTTTGGCAGATAAATCTTTTGCCATTTAATATCTAAATGACAACACTTGTTAGGATACATATACCCAAGTTTTTCTTGATAACTGTGTGTCGGGATTCCAAACATTTAACAACAACAACAAAATATCTTTTAAATGAAACATAATAAAAATTTTTCTCTGAAGGAAAAGTATAAGCAGAATAACTGTTAAAATAACATTTATATATTCTTTTCAGAAATATACAATAACAATAAAATGTTCAATTCTCCTTGCAGTGAAGTTTGTTTTATCAAG